TATCTATCTATCTATCTATCTATCTATCTATCTATCTATCTATCTATCTATCTATATGCATGAGTGCTCTGTCTGCATGTGCACCTGCACGCCAGAAGAGGGCACCAGATCACATTACAGATGGCGGTGAGCCACCATGTGGTTGCTGGGACTTGCGCTCAGAACCTCTGGAAGAGCAGCCAGTGCTCTTAAGCACTGAGCCCTCTCTCCAGCCCTAGTCTCTTTTCTGTAACTGTAGGCTGGAGAAGGTTTTAGATAGCAGTAGTATCCACTTGTCTTGTTCTTTCTGTCCCTACCCTACCCCCACCACCCCCAATGAAATAATAGCTCCTGGAATACAGCCTTATCCTCAACTTGACTTTAAGAGTGAATGGAAAGCCAGGCTTGGTAGTGCATGCCAATAATCCTACCACTTGGGAGGTCAAGGCAGGAGGACCAGGACTTCAAGGCTACCCTCAACTACATAGCAAGTTTGAGGTCAACCTGGGTTACATAAGACCTTGTCTCAAAACCAAGCTAATTAATTAATTAAAACGAGTGGGTAAGTACTGTCTCAACCTATATGGCTTGGTATATACTAGGTAGTTTATAAAGGAGAGAAATTTATTTCTCATCATTCTGGAGGCACGGAAGTCCACTCACTTTCCATATATCTTAGTTAGCTTTGCTCTAATGAAACATCGTGACCAAAGCCAGCTGGAGAGGAAAGGGTTTGTTTAGCTCACACTTCCACATCACTGTCTATCACTGAAGGATGTCAGGACAGGAGCTCAGGCAAGGCAGGACCGTGGAGGCAGGAGCTCATGCAGAGGCCCCTGGAGAGTGCCCCTGCTTAATCTTGCTTGCCATGGCTTGCTCAGCCTGCTCTCCTATAGAACCCAGGTCGGCCAGCCCAGGATGGTCCCACCCACAGTGAGCTGGGTCCTCCCCTGTCAATAAGAAAATGCTCTACAGACTTGCCCACAGCCTGATCGAATGGAACCTTTTCTCAATTGTGGTCCCCTTCTCTCAGATGACCTTAGTTTGTGTCAAGTTGACATAGAACTAACAGCATTCCATAGCGCAGACCGTCCTCCTTGTGTCTTCACGTGACAGAAGAGCTGACGGGCTTAGGACATGCCCACCAACCCCTCATCATGACCTAATCGGGTAAAGACCCCAGCTCTTGACCCAGTGGCACTAGCGCTTAGGTTTCAGCGTCTGAGGGCTCTGGAGATGGGGAGTGTGTGACGAGCAAGTGTGAGGCCCCGAGCCGGGCACCTGCCTGTAATTTCCGCATTGTGAAGCACATACAGGAGGATTCTGGCAACTTGATGGTCAGCCGGGTTAGCCAACCAGTGGGCTCCAGGTTCAACAAGAGATGCTCAGAAAATAAGATAGGGTGATTGAAGAAGACACCTGACATTGACGCCTGGCTTTCTCCCAGTTGCATGTGCCCACACACACGTACACACACACACACACACACACACACACACACACACACACACACATGTTTTGAGGGACACCAACATTCAAACCACAGCCACCTGTCTTGCTGAATGGTTGCGAGACTAAATTGTGATCAAAATGCAAAAAAATGTTTGCCTCAGTATCTTGCTTCTATTTCCATCTTTCTCCTCTTTCCTTCTCCATTTTATTTGTTCTTTATTTTCCTGGACTTATAACCAAACCAAGGGCTAATGAAGCTCTGTCACTTTTATCAACAACTCAGACTACAACTAGTTTTTTTTTTTTTTTTTTTTTCCAGAGAGCAACCCAGCTGTCCGTGGCTGATGGTACCGACTTCCGGCTGCAGGGGAGACTTGCCTGTCTAGACGCCTCTTCCCTGCTGGTCTGTGGAGACTGAGTGTACTTGAATCTCTTCCTGTGCTCCGTGGCTCCACCCTGGCTAATTCTGCTTCTGTCCTCCTTCAGTCACATCATCGGTGAATGCTTCCTGTGCTCATTCCTTTCTCCTTACATCAAAGAAAACTGGGCTGAAGCAGTGGGGGCTGAGCATTTGGGACGGGGCCTCAGAGCTCCAACTCTCAGCACAGGCGGGATCTGAAGGAAACAGGACTCTCTCCTGGTCATGCCTGTCTCAGTTTAAAGGTTGGGAGGCAGGGGAGGAAGTGTTGACATGAGGTCACAGCCTCTTTGCTCAGGCTGACCCCGACTCAGCAGGGACACAGAAGGACCTGGCCTTTTCGAAAGCTGCAGAAGTTTTTAGCCTTATTTTAGGGCAGACTCTCAGGCAAGTCTGTTCCAGAGGACCCGGGTTCAGTTCCCAGCACCCACCTGGCAGCTCAAAGCTGTCTGTAACTCCAGGGGATCTGACATCTTCACACAGACTCGGGCGCAGGAAAAGCACCAATGCACTGATGCACATGAAATAAAAATAAATAAATAAGTTTTTAAAAGAGAAGAAAAAAACCCCATGATGTTTTAAGTAAGTTTACCATTTGAGTTGGCTGCATTCGCAGCTCTCCTCGGCTGCATGCAGCTCGTGGGTTCCGGCTAGGCAGGGGTCTGGGGTCCTGAAACGTTCCCCAGAGGACAAGGTCTGGGGAATGCCATGGTCACTATCTACTCCTGGCTCTGCGTTTCCTTGTTAAGCCTTTCTCTGGGTGGACGGGAAGCAGTGGACGCGGCTGGAGACTGTCCAGGCTACCGGGTCAGAGCGGTTCTCAGGAAAGCCAAGCTCACCGTGTAGCCCTGGAGGGACTTTGACAGCCGCTTTCCAGCAGGACCAGCCCAGCTATAGGCCTGGAATGTATGTGGTGATCTCGGGGTGGGGTGGGGGTCGGGGGTGGGGAGAGTGGAGGGCAGAAGGGTGGGGATGGGGGAGCGAGCTTCTCCTAGACACTCTAGCTTTTCCCTCATTTTTGTTATGGTTGCCACACACGCACAGCCCTGGAAACTGGCAGCCGGTTTATGGCCTTCCATAAAAGCGCTCTGTAGCCCAGGTTGTACTGACCGGGCCAGAACAGGCCATTCGATTGCTTTTTATTCATAAACAAGGTAAAGGCAGTTGACCTTTGGCCCGGGATACTGGGTCAGTGACCTTGGAGGGAGGTTAAATATTAATGACATACAGATAAGAGCCTCACCTGTTACCATGTGTCATTAAGGGGATCTGGCGGGGAAAAGAAGGGGAAAACACAGGTGAGTAGAGTGGAAGGACACAGTGTTCTTCTAAAGGGCCATGGTGACACAGACGGAGCTTGGTGTTGTGTCTCAGAAACTTGGGGCAACAAGGTGATGGGAGGGCACCTTCCCTCAGGAATCCTTTAGGGCCCCCCTTTCCTTGTGTTCTGCCAGACTCAGCCCCCTTTCCCCCACCCCGCACAAAAGGCCCTGTGTTTGAGTGTGGCCTCCCCAGCACGGCCTTGCATAGGCCTGGGTAAGGCCCATCTCAGGTGAGAGTGCTACAATGGGTACAGCTTCCTGACAGCAGAGAGTAAAAGTTCTTCTCCTTCCTCTGTGCAGGCACAGGGTCAGAGGTGGGGTGGTGCTTGGAGGTGGGACAGACAAAGGCCTGTGAAATGGCCTCTGTCCAGACAGCTTCCACCTACAACCTCAAAGAGAAGGCTCTGTGCCATTCCTTGCTTCCAGGCCTGTTTCTAGAAGGCCCTGTCCAGACTCCTCTTGTCTGCCCTAGATAGTCCAGTCCTTGCCTGTATGGCCTCTGCTCCATGAGGAAACATCCATGAACCTGTGTGAGCAGAAGGCCCTCCTTGTCTTTCCAGATTAAAAAAAAAAAAAAAAACAAAACCTCTCAGCAGGAGACAGTGACGGTCTATCAGACCCTGCCCTGGGTTGCAACAAAGCACTTCCCAGACATTACTGTCATGCTTGGCATTAGGATGGCATTGCCTTGTAAGGTAAGTATGATGATCCCTGTTTCATCACTGAGGTCTGAGCTAATTCACTTGCTTGCTGCCCTACAGATGGTAGGCGGAGACCGGACAGACCGAGATCCCAAAGCTTTTGGGTTCCATGGCTCCGGTGCTTTCCTCGGGACCCCTGCCTCACCTCCTGATGGGTTAACAAGTCATTCCAGGGTGAAGTCTCCCACAGTGGAGCAAAGAAGGGAGCCCTGGCAGGGGGTAAGCTCTGGCCACACTCTGCCCTGAAGTCTGGCTACTGTGCTGCCTGTAGCCTTGACAGCCTGTTATGTTTGGTCCCCTAGCTTCCTTCCGGTCCAAGCTCCTCCAGAGAAGGTGGATGAGTCACTCGTGGTTAAACTAGATTTGGGAGCTGGCCAGGAAGCAAGGGAAGAGAGGCAGCCTCCAGCCCAACGTTCTAGGAGTAGAGGGGTGGCACAGGCTCTCCAGGTTTCCCTGCATTACCCCACACTGTCTGTCTTGCCTGCTCGGCCCTGTGGCTCAGGCCATTTGTACATACCGCCTGCCTGTAACTTCTCTAGGGCAGCCCTCACCATACATTTGTATTCTTACTTGGCGCCCAAATCTTCCTTCCTCTGGCTCTCACCAGGGCACCCACCTGGGGTTGGGCCTTTAGAGCCTGCAGCTTGGTGGGTGTGGGGTTGTTAGCTGGGTGGGGCAGCAAGAAGCCTAGGCTTGCTCGTTCTGACCTCCCTTCAGGATTCCCACTGCACAGTCAGGGCCAAGCCTTTGAAAAGACAGTCCAGTTCTGTGGACTGCTGCAGCTCAGAAGCTGGGGAACTGGGGCTCACGGCCTCAGCCCCTGGACCCTCATCCCTCGGACACACAAGGGAGTCCAGCAGGCTCCAGGGACTTGGTTCCTGGTCCAGGGAGGAACATGAAAGGGAGTGGGTATTTAAAGGGAGGGAGACAGGGTGGCCTTCAATCTGGACAGAGGACAGGAGGGATAGTGGCTCCTTCAAGTACCGAGGTGTCTCTGGTTCCCCACTGTGCAGTGCATGAAGGTCAGGCCTTCTGTCCATGCAAAACCCCAGAGGTAAGGGAAGGGACTTTGGTCTCTGTGCTCCCTCCTCAGCCAAGGAGGTGACTTCCTGCAGAGAAAGGTCCCCGGAGAGACAGCTTCCGGCAAGCGTGTCTTCCTGGAGCTGACCTTTCGGCTTGAGCTGTTTGGGGTTGGAGAGGACCTCAGCGGTGCAGTCTTTGCCAGGGTCTTCCACACACACAGCATAGGAAGCAGGCCAGCTGTCCAGGATGCCCTGCGGGCTGTAGGTGAGAGGCCGGGTCTTCATCACCTGCTGTGGCGAGTAGACCAGAGTCTTGGCATCAGAGGCGACCTGAGGAGCATAGGAGGGGGGCTGGACCTCGGAGACAGCCTTCGGAGCATAGGACGGTGGGGACAGTGTCTGCTGAGGTGGCACGTTGGTGGGCAGGAGGGAGACATCTGACTGTCCAACGTAGGAGACATCAGGCAGGCTGTGCCGCTGTGCAGCTCTGGGTGGCTCCCTGGGCCCGGACACCACCACTTGGGAGTACTGGATGGGCTGAGCTAGACCGTGGGGGCCGCTGAGGTCCAAGACGGGGATCAGAACGTGTTCCTGGATGAAGCGCAGAGGCTGGAAGGTCAGGACACGCTGGACATTCTGTGGGGAGACAAGAATCCACCCTTTAGGGCGTGTCCTGCTTTTCTTCCTTCCTTCTTTCTTACTTAAGGTGATCTTGTGCGTGATGTGTGTGCTCACGGGTGCTCGGATGCGTGTGTGATAAGCACATGCATGTGCAAGCCAGACACCCAGCATCTCTGGCCATCATCCATCCATCTTACATATCAAGGCAGGGTGCTGATACGAGCCCAGAGCTCAGCAATTTTGTTGGCCTAACTAGTGATCTAGGCTTGAGAACCTCTGCCTTCAGGGCGCTGGGATTATGGGTGGATAATCTGCCACACCCTCCCAGCATTTATGTGGGTTCCGGGATCCCAACTCTGCTCCTCGTGCTTGCATGGCAAGTGCTTTATCCATTGGGTCATTTCTCCAGCCCCATGATTCTTTCTGTGATCTGGCTAGGCAAGGCCTGGCACCAGGGGTCCATTCAAGATGTATGTAACCCACCCCTGCCCATGGAGTTCCCTCCAAATGCACCAGCCTCCGAGGCAGCTCATGCTAGGGAGGCTGATGCAGGCAGATCTTGAGTCTGAGGTTAGCCTGGGCTATGTGGTGAGGCCATGTTGTGAAAAAACAAAGCAATCAAGTAAACAGACACTGCGGTGTCTGCAGTTACACTTGGCAGACTGACTTAGGACCCGCTTGCTCCAGGTGACTGACAGCCCGGGGAAGTAGATGGCCCAGATTTTGGGCTGCCTCAGGGTTGTGGCTTAACACTACTGTGAGGGACTGAGGTGAAAAGGGAGATAGGAAAGGTCGGAAGAGGATGCGAGACAGTGGGGAGGCAGGACGGTGACCCCCTGCGAAATACCCTCTGAGTCCTATAGATGGGGAGTTGGCTCCAGAGCCCCACTGCTCAGCCCTCGGTGTTCCCCAGGACCTGTATTCCCACCCAGCTGTGATGCTCTCAAGCCACAGGGCACCCCTGTTCAATCCCTCTGTCCCGATCATATGCTTTCTTCAAACAGCCTGGAACCTGCCGGACCACCTTTCTCAACCCAGTCTGCTCTGCGGCAGATCTTGGCCCTACTCAGGGGCTCCCCCACCCTCTGGGACTTGAAGGGTCTCTCTAGCCCCTCTAGCCCCAGCTGTGTGACTCACCAGAGAGTTAGGAGGGACGGGTGGCTTGGTAACGTATTTGTAGCCCAGGTAGCAGAGCAAGCCAATGAGGAAACCTGTGGAGAACAGCACTGCGCCAGAGAAGGAATAGGCCCATGTCCGATCTGCAGAAGAGGACAGGAGAAGGTGGTGTGAGCTTGGAGGCCTCTGGGCCTGTCCCCCTTGGGTCAGGGTGAATTATTTTTTTTCTTCTTCTTTACATGGTGGTCTGCCTGCATATATGCCTGCACGCCAGAAGAGGGCACCAGATCTCACTATAGGTGGCTGCGAGCCACCATGTGGTTGCTGGGAATTGAACTCAGAACCATTGGAAGAGGAGACAGTGCTCTTAACCTCGGAGCCATCTCTCCAGTCCCTGGGTGAGTTCCTTACCACCTTCAAATACAACATGCATTGCTAGGGATGAAGCTCTCTTGGTAGTGTGCTTGGCTACCAGTCACAAAGGCCTGGACTCAAGAAGGCACCGCACAAATGGGGAGCAGGCCTGCGATCTCGGCACCTGGGAGGCCGGGACAGAAGGACCAGAAGCTCAAGGCAATCCTCAGGTGTAGGCTGAGATCAAGGCTATTCTGGGCTACAGGAAACCCTGCCTTCAAACAAAAGTGAGACACATGGAAAGCCTCTTGTAGGTCTTCAGCATGGCGCCAACTCACACAGCTAGGGCCTCAGCTAGTCATGGATGACCCAGTCCACACAGCCAGCTCATTCAGACCCCGCATCTAGACACTTTCTAGTCAACCTTTGGGCCAAGAACCTGCACATTAGCCCGTCTTTGCCATCATCAGGAGTGGAGCCTGGTCATGGAACAGGCTATGTCACAGGCACGGGGACTCCGAGTCCCTGCTATTCAGAGTGTGGTCCAGAAGGATCTACTACAGTGGTTCTCAATGTGTGGGTCATGAACCCTTTAGAGGTCCAACGACCCTTTCACAGGGGTCATCTGAGATCACCGGAAAACACAGATATTTGCATCACGATTCATAACAGCAGCAAAATCACAGTTATGAAGTAGCAACGAAATAATTTTATGGTTGGGGGGTCCCCACAATACGAGGAACCATATTAAAGGATTGCAGCATTAGGAGGATTGTGAACCACGGTTCTAGTGGTCCTGACAGCTCAGTCACTGTTGCTAGGGGCTTTTTCATTAGGTGTGTCAGAGAAGGAGCTTCTGGGAAGAAGGAGGGCAGTGGGCAGGCTGGTGCCCCTACGCCCCCAGCTGGGCTCTCAGGGTCATCTTGCTTCCCTGACAGGAGTCAGAGGGTAGACCCAGGAAGACCTGTGCCCTCTCTCTCAGTGTCTAGTTGAAGGAGCCCGGGGAGGGACCAGGCCTCCGAAAAGTGAGGAAGGCAGAGTACTGACATTTCTTGTCTCTGTGCCTTTTGTTGTCTTGGGACAGGCACAGAGGTTTCCTGGCACGACCTGTCCTGTCGTCAATCTGAGTGGCACTTGTGAAACGCTGGGGAGGCAGAGGCTGGAGCAGTGACCAGGTGTTTACATTATCTGTGGTTCTGTCCCCTCCCCCATGTGGAGGCAGGGTGGGAGAGTGATGATGAACCTGAAGATGAGGAACAGCGACACCAGAGCGGCGTATCCTCCCGGCCCTGCAGCCCTCCCGGATCCAGCTTCTGTAGTAACAGTTGTCCCGCACGTCCAAGCTCTCCCCGAGAATCAGCAGAACACACAAAGGGACAGGGATGTTTTCCTCATCCAAGCAACAGGGCAGATGCCCAGAGAGGTCCAGAGACTGGTCAAAGGTCACACAGCTCCTCAGAGGATGAACATGACTGCAGAACCTATCCCCCCATCACGCCTCAGTTTCCTCCCTTCTAAAAGAGACAAGGTGAGCCAACTTTGAGACCTCTTCCTCCCACCTAGGTGCTGGGGCGATATTTAGTAACTCCCAGGCATCCTGAGGAAATAAAGCAGGGGATCCTGGGATCTGGGAAGAGGTAAAGCCTAGACTAAGTTTGAGGGCAGGATGGTTTACTCTGCGATGGAAGCTCAGAGTAAGCCCGCAGCAGAAGAAGCTAGCGTATACAAGGTTGTAAGGTGATGGCTAGAGTCTGGCTTCAGGACCAGCTAACAAAGGCAGCTGGGTTCGCCGACCAGCTGTGTGGTCATGGACAAGTTACTTAACCTCTCTGAGCCAGATTTCCTCCTGTGTAAAATGAAGATGATGCTATCAACATTTTTTTTGCGGGGGGGGGGGAGTGTTGTAAAAATTAACTAATATATGCAATGATAGGAATGGACGTTTATAAAGCACCTGACAGGTTGGCCACGGAGTGGTGCTCTAGCAGAAGGCCTTCTCTAACGGACTTTGATCTTTAGGGAGAAAGAGCATCTTTAGGTCTGTTAGCAAGAAACACCCAAGAAGAGCGAGCTTAAAGTGAAAGCAGCGGCGGCCTCAGGTGAAAAGAGGTATTCACCTGTCACCTCAGTTCTCAGGAGGCTGAGGCAGGAGGATCAGGAGCTGGAAGCTGGCCTGGGCTACAGAGGGAGACCCTGTCTTAAAACATAACAAAGAACCCAAACCCCAACAAAATCTAGTGTGACAGTGCAGGCCAGCTCACTTGAGGACAAGCCTACAGGAAGGCAAATAAGGAGTGGCCTGCCTGCCTTCCAGAAGCAGTGCCTGGGGACAGGTGGCCCGTATCTAAGGAGATTGGGGTGAAGGTCAGAGAGCGCATTATACACGCCCAGCTTGGCACCCTGTGGGTCCAATTCCTAGCCTGCTGCTTGTCAGGTTCTATTCTGGTGCCCGGGTCCCTCATGAAGGAAGGCCATGCCCCATGCTATCGGCCAGGGCTGGCTGTCCTCCAGCCGTGCCTCCTGCCAGATGATGCCCTGGCATTCAGGCAGAGAAGCCAGGGTCTTGTGGGTTCTGACAGGCTGAACAGGTTTCTGGGCGGAGCTGAAGACAGGGACCATTTTCCATGCAGGGCCGAGCACTGATGTCCAGTTGTCAAACCGAGTTCCGAGGGAGACTACAGTTGGCAGAAGTCAGCTGAACACCATGGTTCGGGTGGGCCCCCGGTCCTCACAGACACCCTTGTCCAATGACGTCACTGCTTTGCTCTGCCTGGCAGTTTGAAGCATTGAAACTCTTCTATGTGCTTGGGAGCATAAGCCTAACCAAAGAACAGATGCTGTCACGGGAGCCGGGGCTGTTGTCGGCTTGTTTTCCATTGCTGGGGATGGAACCTCAGACCTTGCCTGCGCCCTGCAGCTGCTATCCTGAGTCCCGAGAATGTGCTAGAGGAATGGGGCATGTCACTATCTCCCTGACTAGATGACTCAGAACTATCTCCACAGTAATGCAGTGGTTAGAACAGAGTACCCTGGAATTGGGCCTCGTTCCCTCCTTCTCTTCCTTAACTTACCTTGGGTAAGTTACATAACCTCTGTGAACCCGAGTTTCATCTCATGTAGAATGAAGATGATTGAAGCTCCCGCCTCTCAGTGTAGCGGAAATGTGATCCATCCTTATCACCGTTATGGTTCCTCAGCTTTGAAGATACCGAGGATCACTTTACCCTCTCTCTCCGCACCCCTGCACCCGTCCTCCCCCGTACATGCGCCTTCAGTCGATAATGTATATGTTTGCTTTGCCAGAGTTTACACAAAGCTGGCCAGAGAAAAGAAATTCAGCCTTTGGCAGAGGGTGATGGTGATTAAATGTTCGCTAAGTAAACCCATTAGACAACTCAGCCGTGGACAAACAAACATCCGTCTTAATATGACACCGCAAGTCTCCAAGGGTTCTCAGAGCACCACCGAGCCTGTCCCCCTGGTTACCGGGCGGGAGGGGGGAGCGGGGTCAAGCTGTGCCCTCAGGAATCCCCCCACCCCATGGCCTCCGCTGAACTCACCAGGCAGCGTCTTCACTCGGCACACATAGGGGGCGCTCTTCTTGGACCACAGAGGAACGGAGATCATGATGGACCCAAGGAACTCTGTGTCTGGAGTCAGGCCAAGGAACTCGTATTCTCTCTGTTTGCCTTCGAGGTGCTGAAATGGACAGAGAACCCAAGATGATTGCACAGACACAGACAGACACACACGGACACACACGGACACACACGGACACACACATGCACACAGGTACCCATGCACACAGAGCCTTCTCATAGAGCCTGCTCTGTCACATTGTAGCAGCCCACAGATAGCAGCTGCTGTGGCAACGACCCGCTTGCCAGCTGCTGTGGAAACGACCCGCTTGCCGCCAGCCGCCATCACCCCCCCTCCCCTGCCTCCTCCGTCATTAACCCTGCCTCGACTCTACATTCCTTTACCCTTCCTGATCTGACCTGATCTCTCCAGCCTGGGCTCTGCAATGGCCCCTTGCTGCTCACTCATCTCTGGTTTGGTTCCTGTCCACGGGCACATTCATCTTGGTGCCACCGTCATCTTTGGAAAAGCTAGATTTACAGCGCGCCTCTCCTCCAAAGCCTCGGCTGCTTGGCCCGTACTCACAAGGCAACATCCTGGTCAAATGCCATCGGTAGCTGCCTGACTCAAGGCTCTGGGGGTGCAGGGTCCTGGGCCTCTGGTGAACCCCTGGTGACTTGAGTAAATTGGGGTTCATTGCCACCTGCTGTCCTACTCTGGTGATCACTTGTTCTCTCTCCCCAGGTTTCTCTAACTCCCCTACCTTGGATCCCCCCAACTTGCCTGCCCTGTGCCATCCTTGGTGGGGGAGGGGAGTGCTCCTGTCACCTCCTGCCAACCTCTGGCTGGTTCACCTGTTTCAGCCCCTCAGTTCCATGCAGAATGAACTCTTCACCCATCTTTCTCTCTGGTCACTTTATGATCTTGTCTGGGCCTGTGGCCTCTGTAGTCATTGATGTACGACCCTAAAGGGTTTCTGATGAGCAAAACCAGCCCCTTCTGGGCATCACCAGGCAGGTACCTCCATACCGCGTGTTCCCAAACCTAGCCCGGCACCCGCCTCCTGTTCTCAAATTCTCTTTATAGCATCCGATTTTCCTCATCTTGGCGGCCCAAGATAGCAAATTCTTCCCTTTAAGTTGCCCTGTCAGGTACGTTGGTCATGGTGATGAAAAAGCAATTATTAAAATGATCAAAATGAAAAAAAAAAAAAAAGGAAGATGACTAAAAATTCTTGAGAGTATATAATAGAGGGAGTGTTGGGAGATGAGGGAGGGATAACAGCTATGGAAGCTTTTAAATATCTTTTATCCTGAGGGCAGATTCCAGCCTTCACTTTATGGGATGGCCGAAGCCTAGAAGCCATGACATTTTTCTGGCTGGAATAACCAGAGGACAGAGTTTGGGGTGACCATGGAAGCTGCAAAATGAGGGGCAAGCCACAGACAGGAGCACCGTGTGGAGGAAGCCCAGGCTCTCTGTGTGGACTCAGCCTTAAAACACGAATCACACGCACGAGGCAGCCTCTAAGCCTAAATAAAAAGACCGAATGGGGATGTCAGAGGGTGACGTCCAGCCCAGTTAATGGCCTGCTAACACAGCACAGAAAGTTGGGCATGGTGGTGGAGACAGGAGAATTGCTGCCTGTCTGAGGCCAACCTTAGCTACATAATGAGTTCCAGGCTAGCCTGGGCTACCATGGGAGACTTTGTTACAAACAAATAAACAACAAAACCCAACCCCCAAAGAACAAAAGACGAATCCACACCCTTTGGAGGTTATAACACAACCCAGAGTCACTTCAACGCGGCTCTCATAACATCCAAGGTACATTACAAAACGTACAAGGAAAAGCAAAAAGTCGTGACCCCCCCCC